GCATGGCCAAAATAATAAAACACAGACAACCTCAGGACAGGATCGTGACACTCTCAGCTCCTTCCCGCAGTCACACCACGTCTTGGTTTGGTGATGTTGTTCTGAGTTTATTTTTAATGTTCATCCATCACTTTTACTCATACACCTCACTGACTTATGGCCCTTTCAGACAGAAAGCGATTTACGCTGCGCTGGCCACTGGGTTCAGCACAAAACTTTAAACTATTTTGAACTTGACCACACGTGCACGCGAGGTCGTCAGGCAGTGCACTGCACTACACTTGGGCCAAACCGCTCTGGTGTGGCGCAAGACACCGAAAATAATGGGTTTCATGGTGCAGCATTGCAGTCGGTCTGAAAGGCCCATTACTGATTTCAACACACAATGTTGAGTAAATTTACTTTGGTTCTTTAATTTCTTCTTATATGGTTTAATTTGATTTGATTAATTTTGTTAACTGTATTCTTGGTGTGTCTCTCTTTTATTGTGGGCACTTGAGTCTGGCTATAACATGAGGGTAGATGCACATGTGCATAACAATGCCCCTTCTGTAACTCAGAAAATCAATCAGCCATGATTGATGATTAAGATAAAATGAGGACTTCCTGAAATAGTCCTGTTGACACAACATGTTCCCAGCAGAAACAGGGTTTGCTTAAAGTAAAAGCAGTCGCTGATTTACAAATTAGGTCCCAGTATAATGTTGAAATGTGTGAAACGGCTCATGTAGAAGTTAAAGTTAGATCCTGCTGTATCAGAAGATTTAACAACTTAAAGCTTTTTGTTTTATTCGTTAAAGTTCTCTTTTCATTGACACAGAAATGAAATACATCCAGTATCTGAGGCTGTAATAAACATGGTCAATAATTCTTTCATACTTTTGTGCTGCTGTGCGATCAGTGCCTACTATTCCACACTGTGCTCAACAGATGGAGACTACGATACAACGCACATATTTCCTGCTGCCGATGGCCCTACAAGAAAAATTACTTTAAACATTCTTACAACAGGTAAGGGTGTCATTATTGTTAGCTAATCAAAAATATTTTTGCTTATTTCTAAGTGGTTCCAGTAACAAAAAACACATGTCAACAAAGGGTGATGAGGGTGATTCACTGGGGGCCCTTATTTTCCATTAGTGCTTATGCCAGAAACAGGCCTAGGTTTCTTATATTTATACACACAATCACACACACAGTATATGAGCCAACCTCAGGCCACAGATCAGGTCATTTACAGTAATTAAACAGGGCTTAAAGGACAGGTCTGCTTTTGATACCAAAACATTTTCATTACCGTGTCGAAGAGGTTAAAAAAGGTCACTGGTGAAAGATTTTTGCACAATAGCTTGTAACTCTGTATTCAGAAAGTAACTGCAACCTTCCGTGTGACCCACTTCCACCTTTTATAGGTTTACATGGATATATAAGTTCATGACCGTCCTACAATTTAGAGGAAATCATGTTTGGACTGGTTAAACACAGTGTTTATTGCAATATTGTGGTTTTAGCTGACTTAAGTTAGAATATTAGTTCAGTTAATGGTCAATAGTATCATTAAAAACAAGGGTTTTCTGGAAGTTACACACAGAACCTTCAAGTGCCGTAACTTATAGTTGAGCAAATTAAACAAAAGCTGTTTTTCCGTTATACCAAATATTTTATATATATATATATATATATATATATATATATATATATATATATATATATATATTTTCATGATTTCTCTCACATTGTTCCAATGCTGTATCCTCTGTTACAGTTTTTATGTCTTGTTTATGTTTTTTCATCTGTGTTTTTTTTGTACTAACCACAAGCCATCAGTAAACGGTATCTGGAAGCTGTTTCCTGCCTCACGTCCACAGACCAAATAAACACAGAATTTGTTTACAAAAACAAGACACTCCTGAATTTGGGACTTTTTACAGTTGTCATTTCAATTTCAGTTCCGTTTTGTTGACATTCTGTTTTAGTTTTTATTAAAAGTTATTTTCAGGTTTATATAATTTATCTTCCTATGCAGATCACGTCCCTTACTTCTCTGATACTTGGATTGGCTGTCATGTTTCTCCAGAGACCTCAAACCTTCATAACTTTGATAAGAAATATAATGAACAGTGTCTTTAGTTTAGGCTTATTTAGTTTGCACTTCTTTAAGTCTGCACTGTGGCGTTGAAGTCACAGCCTCAGAGTGCTTTTAATACACTGAACGTGGATTTATTAAACATCAGGTCTTTGGCTGGTGCATCATTTATTAGCCGTGCCTTTTTTATTTTGAAACTGATTCTGAATCTTGGTTAGACCAAGATAACAGTGCAGACATTTTTGAATCAGCTGTTCCTGAACTTTTTTCCCAAGAAATTAAGGCGCCATTTTGTTTAAGATTTATTTCCTGTTTCACCAGAGGTCATATGGAAAATTGAAATTTTTAAAATATCTTGTTCTTCGGTTAAAATTGGTCCTGTGGAGCTGTATTCCTAAATATCTGCAGGTCATGGTGAAACGTTTTTGATAACTTTGCCAAACCATCTGCATTGACTTTGACTTTAATATTCTTCTCGACAACGTCCAGGACAGCAGCACTTAAGATATTCAGTTTAAAACACAGAAACGCAGCAAATCCTCACATATGAAAAGCTGGAACCAGAGAATGTTTGGCATTTCTGCTTGAAAAATATAGTCGATCAATCAAACAATCAACTAACTGACTAATCAACTGTGAGGACATTCTGTCACATCCAATCATGATATCATTGACATGCTCAGACTAGTGTTTGTGTGGGGCCGTAGTCACTTGGTGATATTGTAATGTAAATAAGTGTCGTCTGCATGATTATGTATGTTTATGTACTAACAAAGTCTGTAATATGTTTTTTTCCTGGCTGATCCCGATTATTAGTAACCAATTAGACCGATGACCGATATGTGGAACTGATATACATTTGCTGTAAAATATTTAATCTTGGTGTCTTGTTAAAAATAACAAGATTAAAGCTAACTGTCATGTTTAATCTTTATAAATAGTAAATTAAATTAATTAGAGATCCCTCCCAGAGATGGACTTGTTAACTATGAGTGGTAAATTATTATAAACTTTGTCTTTACCTGCTGCCATTTATACTGAATTTATTTTATATTGTTGGGATTTTATTGATTACATTCTATTGGTACTATTTATTGGTTCTGTTCTTTATCGTTACTCTTATTGGTTTTTCCTTAAAAAAGAACAAACTCAGAACAGTAATCATATTTAATATTTTATTATAACTGTTTTCAGAGCAGCAACAAAAGTAAAGTCTACAGCAGCAAGGTCACTTTATAAAATCAGTATCTCACTGGAAACAAATGGAACATTTTAAATAAACTATCTTCCTGACATCAAAATACTGAGTAAAGACCACAGAACTCTGTATCAGTCCTTCCTCCTGTCCTCCTCCTCCTCCTCCCTCTGCTGCTGCTGGTAGAGAGGAGCTGGATTCTCTCCACAAGCAGCTGAGTTTGCAAGGAGTTTTGTAAGTATTTTAAGGTACGTAGCATCTCAGCTAAACAGGCTGCAGGCAGATTTCATCTCAGCTTGTTTATAACAAAATAGCTATTAGCCGTGCTTGTGTAAAACCAAAACACAGGTGCGGTGGACGAGACAGAGCAGATTAAAATATAGCTTTGTACACGTTTCCGCTTGATGTACTGATGCAGTATCAGCCTTTTACTAGTATTGCTGGTTTTGCTGCACACAGTAACAGGCGTAGTTATGGTTAACTGTACTCTGCTGTAATCTCCACAGATCTGCTCCGCTAGCTTCGCTTCACCTGTGCGCAGCTCTGCTGAGAGATGAGAGGGGAGAGGCTGCAGTATGGTGGCTTGCTGGTTCTATTGGCTACTTGTGACTTGTAACCAGTCAGCTAGTACTGTGTGGTGAGTACAGACAGAGAGGAACGGCTGCATCAGAGCCAAAGGCGCACATTTTTTTATGAATTAATTATCGGCTATTTGTTTTTAAAATGACAGATGCAGATTATTGCAAAAATGCAGAATATCGGCCACAGTAATCGGTCAGGCCGATTATTGGTCGACCCCTAGTGCTCAGCTTCAAATGCTTTAAAGAAACCAGAAAGGATAGTTTTGGACTATTAACTAAGACCAGGAGAGTGATTCACATTACTCCAGGTCTCAGGTCTTTACACTGGCTTCCAGTGTGTGAAATAAAGTTAGTTTATAAAGCACTGAATGGTTTAGAGCCAAAAGATATCTCTAATCTGAAGCTCCATCATGAACAGTCACCCAAAAGATTTGAGGGATATAAAAAAGCTTTTGAGTTTCAGTGAAAAACATACAACCAATGAGAGACAAACGTCTAGCATAAAAATCCACCATTGTTCTATCTAATTGTTTTTGTTGCTTTTTAAGCCTACTATCGATGTGATAGTGAACATTACACACTTAATTTCCTGCGTTCTGGTGAATTGTTCTGCAGAATATATATACAGAATATAAACAGTGCAGCTCTCGGATCTGTTTGTCTTGTAGAACAGCTTTTCTCATGTAACATAATCCCTGCTGAGTCAACACACACACAGGCAGGATTCTCCCTCTCTCTTTTGAGCCTTTTGTTTGGGGAAGAACCTCTTTTAATGTGCATGTGGCAGCTTTTAACCTAAATGATAAATTAATTCATTTTAATTCAGTTAGAAACTCCTGGACCTTTTTTATTTTATTTTTTTTAAGCTTGTGTGTCTCTGACATTTAGATAAAACATTTAGATTAAGAAAATAAAGTTGTAATATTAGGAGAATAAATATAATATTTCCGGCAGACTGTTAACAGTTCATGAACCAAACACACTGACGGCCAACAGAGGTTATAAAACTTTTAATCTGAATTCTAGATCTACATACAATTCAGTAGTCGCTGTATATTGTTGTGGACACGTCTCCACCGTCCATGTCTAACTTTACGCCCTTGTGTGCATCAGTTATTTAGGTAAAAAGGCTACTTACCAAAACAAAGGACAATAATTCTCATCTGCACCTCCATCGTAGAGCTAAATGCAGACAGGCATCGTGTTTTCGTGCAGCTTCTGCAGCTTGTGACAGGTTTTACACGATTTGCCTGTCAAATTGCTCTCATCTGAATTGGACAACACTGTTCCGCCTACCTGCCCGCCCCCACGAGCCTTCTGTAGACGCTTCAACAAGTCAAAGCTTGCCCGCTGCCCAGACTCTGCTGCAGCTCTCAGCAATGTTGGATTTCCTCGCAACCCCGTAGTTGTTGCGACTTGTGCAATCTGTATCTAAATCATCTTGAGTCATCTTCAAACTCAAACTCAAAATGTTTTCAAATCAATGTGAACAAAGTTAGCTTTATGTCTTCACAAGTTGAATTAATTCACTAAATTTGCTCATCACCTCCCAGCATGCATTCAGTTTAGTTTTAAAGATGAATTTTAAATATTACATCAATATTGCACTGAGTCAAATGCATATAATTAAAGATGTGCACATTTTGGCTGTATAATTAAAACACGGTCTTAGGATTTGCTGTTTTTAAGAGAGAAAGAGAAACGGATGAGAACAGGATTGTAACTCAACGGTGGGGATGTTGACAAAGAGCAAACACATGCATCCTGTTTGATTTATTTCCAACATAGCAGCTCTCCCAAAGAAGAGAAGCGAAAGAGGAAGAACAGATCCATGTAGGCTAAAACATGCATTCATCATATAAGATGTATTAAAAAATAAGAATTATTAAATCAATAGTGGGAAGATGAAATGTCAGCATCAATAAAACTTTTAAGATTGTAAAGTTCTCACATGACAGGCAGAGTCAGTTATTGGCAGACTGACAACTGGAATAATTATGCAAATATATGAAGAGCTGGGTGAGATCATGACAAAGGCTTAATCAACAACACATTTCACATTTAGGCTTGTTACATTTATTTGCACATTCAGTTAAATAACCTAGTTGATAAAATTAGATACTAAGATGGACCCTAAAGTGAAATATAATATATAATATATATATATATAACTAATGAATCATTTTCACCAGGGGCTGTGACCTAGAATTGTCTTCACACAGTAAATCAGCTACTTGGTTGTGGTGAAAAAAGCTCACTTCTTCCAAGAAAGGAAGTGACACTTCACAGTTTCTTGCTCCTTTTGATTCTGTCCTGGATAATTTAAAATGTCGCTCCTTTATCATTCTGCACATTCCAGCTTTTGCATTTTTTTCGCTGGGATAAGAGTTTACCTGAGAGACGGATAGCACAACGTTAATGTGCAAGAAGTTTGTAAATGATTTCTGACCTTGTGTCGTTATAGGAAATTATGTTCATGCTTTGCTCTCCGCAGTTCAACACACTTCCTACTAATAAAGAAAGCATAGCTGAAGAATAACAAATTAACTGAATATACTCAGTTTATCCATCATGCTTTATAGTTTCAAATATTAAACTCCTGTTCACAGCTACATTTGAAGCAACATCCTCCGCAAACACCATCAATTGTTCCTTCTTTTCCATGAGGTGTGAATGTGTGTGATCTGCCTGTGACTGAAGGAAAACTAGATACCTCTTCCTGTCCTGTTTGAATACAGAATGCATGCAAAGCTAAAAGAGAAGCTGTACTGTGGCTGCCCAGGTTCAAGCCATCTGGTCTACCACAGCTTGACATACATTAGTCTAAGCACTGCAACCACTCGGAGCTCGCTTTCATTTCTTTGTAGACCGACCGCAGCATACAGTTCTCACACAACATGAAGACCTGTCTGTAGGTTTTAACTTGTTAGCCCCCACTTTTCATCCAGGGGCTTTAACAGCCTGCTGTTACATGAGTATTGTCACAGGCCTGGACAAAAACAATACACTTAAAGTGTTTAAACAAGCAGTTTAAGCACTGGACAAAAAAACAAAAGAGGGGGCGAGCAGGAGGAAAGAGAACACGCAGTAGTTCCATATAGAAATGCAAAACAATAGCAACACAAACAATGTCAACACAAACAATGAAAGTAATAATAAATATAGACGCAATGACTTAAGAGATCTACATTTATTCATTTAGCTGACACTTTTATCCAGTTTTATCCATATATGTCAGAGACAGTGGGGAATTGAACCCAGGTCTCTCACTCCAAAGGCGTCCACTGTTCCATCATCACCTATCACCAGATTAAAGTGACTTTGAGATAATTGGGGAAACGCAAATTTGACATTATATGTACCTGACCACAGGGCGACACGTTCAACCCAGCTGTGACGTTTTGTGTTTCCAAGTTTAAGCTGTACAAACACTTTTTAACTGAGAAAAATAAGTGTCACGGGATCCAAAGAACTTAAACTCACTATGATCTAAACACCCTCATTGTCAGCTGACTGAGCTGCTGGTGAGAGGCTGTTTCCACACACCTTCTCACAAGTTGAGGTAGTGACGTCACATGTGCCAGACCCGGATATTTTTGTCAGTTTAAACTTAAAAAACAGTCAAGATATTGGTGAGAAAATCCACTGTGAGCAATCATTACCAAAGTTTATGCATCAACTGAGGAGTGACCCTAGATCTTACAAAACGAATTTTGTGCGAATCCATGCAGAGAATTACGAGGTCTAAACCTTTTGCATGTGTAGTGCCCCCTAGTGGAAGAATATCCCAGGACTGCTCAGCGAAGCTCGGGCCGAGCATCTGAACAGACATGTCAGGTTTGGGTACAATGGCTTATGCCAATTTTGATTTATGGTCTTTATGGCAAAACCGTCTCGGCCGAGTTCGCAAAAATAGGTCGATCTGTGTATCTACATAAACAAAGGTTGGTGTAAAGATGTCACATTGCCTTGAAAATCATGCAGTCCTCTGCACTCCACTGACCCGCACTGAGAATCTGTTAAGAGGATGTGTGCCAGACAAGGAAGGCTCCTGGCCCAGATGGTGTGTCTCCATCCTGCCTGCAAATATGTGCAGACGAGCTGGCCCCCATCTTCACACAGTTCTTCAACAGATCACTGGAGCTGTGTGAAGTTTTCTCCTGCTTCCAACGTTCCACAATCATCCTAAAAAACCCTCCATCTCTGGGTTAAATGACTACAGGCCTGTCGCCCTGACATCTGTAGTCATGAAGTCCTTTGAAAGACTGGTGTTGGCCCACCTGAAGGACATTTCAGGCCTCTTGCTGGACCCCCTGCTGTTTGCCTACAGGGCTAACAGGTCAGTGGATGATGCAGTAAACATGGGACTGCATCACATCCTGCAACACCTTGACTCTTCAGGGACATATGCAAGGTTCCTGTTTGTTCGGCGTACAACACCATCATCCCAGACATCTTCCACTCCAAACTCACCCAGCTCACTGTGCCAGCCTCCACCTGTAAGTGGATCAAAAACTTCCTGACTGAGGAGTCAGCAGGTGAGGCTGGGGAACATCACATCCAGCACCAGGACTATTAGCACTGGCGCCCCCCAGGGGTGTGTGCTCTCCCCGCTGCTTTTCTCGCTCTACACCAACGACTGCACCTCAGGAGACCCATCTGTCAAACTCCGGAAGTTCACTGACGACACAAAGGTCACCGGCCTCATCCGGGATAGTGATGAGTCTGTATACAGACAGGAGGTTGATTAGCCGGCCCTCTGGTGTGGTCAGAACAACCCGGAGCTTAACACGCTCAAAACTGTGGAGATGATCGTGAACTTCAGAAAGGAGCCTCCCTACTCTTCCCCCCATCATCATTCTGAACAGCTCAGTGTCTGCTGCTAAATTTAAATAACTGATTGGTTTCATCTGGCTTGATCGGTAGATATAATTGGGTGTCATCTGCATAACACCAGGTATCAACTCCACCCACCAGTTACCTGGATTAAAATGGGGCAAAACACAGCAAGATACAAACAAGAGAGGGCCCACACCTGGGGCCGTCACACTTCCTACAGAATATGTTTTAAGACTGTGTTTAGCCAAACTAAATGAGATCCTGTTATCCCTACAAATGTTACAGCCTGTATTAGTTTTAAACTATTATCAGTTTGAAACTATTGTTGTGTGGTTGAAAGACTGACAGTCATGTCGTCGTTAAGGTCTCACAATATTGTTATATGTGCATTGAGTACATTTATTGTACACTGTCTGTGTAAAAAAAGAAAATGGAAATACATGAAGGCTTAAAAAAGAGTGTGCTGACTTGTTGGTATCTCTATTTCAATTCATACACATTAAAATTCATTGTTTAATAACATGAAGTAACATTAACAATGAAGGAACAATGGAGACCTGAAGGTTCTTTCAAACAGCCTACGTTAATTTCCAGATAGGCTTCAGCCTGTATGTGAAAGTCAACTCTAGCTTTTCATGTGTTAACGTTGGTTTCCACCCCCTGACTGTTGATGCTTTGGGAAAGTACCGCCTGCTGCTGACAATGACTATATAAAACTGTATCCATGATAACACACTGTAACTGACAACATTAAAGAGGAAGCACACAGCTCGCTGCATGTACCTGTAAATGGGGTCAGTAATGAGGTCAGTAATATTGGCACAGACAAAATCAGATTTTACTGTATTGTGAAAGTACACCAGGCAAACTCAATATTTGGATGCAATTTCCAGTGTGGGGGTAGATCCAAAACAGCAGAAAGATAGTCCACCTAGCCTGAATAAAAGGACAAGTTTTGACTTGTGGAACAAATAGCTGACAGACAAACCACGGCGGGGCTAACAACTCCTCCGTTATTAATGTGGAAACTCTACGAGAGTAGTGACAGTGCAAGACTCTGGTAAGATGAGAAGAGGCGGACTCTGTTATTGTTACTCTGTTGTCATTAACTTTTTTCATTAACTTTAAGCTATTTTTCGTGAAATTAATTGAGTTTTCCTTGAGTTACCAGTACCTGGGAGTTGCTCCTGGAGGTGTCTGTCTGAGTCAGTCCTGTTTATTTGGTGCTGATGGACAATTGGACTGCACCATGTTCTCCTGCATCGTGGGGCATAAATGTAGTGTCTTAGTCTATACCCCTGTGTGTCAGAATGGCCTGTTCAGCCACTGTATAAGTTTCCCCCATGTCTCAAGGTCAGTTTAGTCTGTTCAGTTCATGGTAAGTTAACGTAGCCTGAATTACATTCTGTTTAGTTGACCTCTTTTATGGGCCCAGAACTTTTTAAAATTTGTTTTTT